ATCTAGAGACGAGAGCGGCCATGGGGTGTTTGCAGACGGAAGCGACCTTGATGATTTGGAATGGGCGGGGATTACAAGAGAAATTCGCTCACTGGGATAGACGGGCGGGTGCTAGTGAGGCGCGGGTGGTGATGGAGTTCCAGGCAATGTATGTAACAAATGACATGAGTTTTTCCAATCTTTACTCTGTGCTGCTTCCTTTGTCCGTCCTGTTGTTAGTGAATGTGAGGATGTTGGGGTAGATGGGTGCGTCGTGAGGGAAACAAGCATCGAGGTCGCTACGTGAAGGGCGGAGAACCGGGGACGCCAGCGGGGGTCGCATCAATTCGGGCGCGCGTGGCGGAAGCGACGCCGGCAATGATGGGGGCTCGTGGAACGGGTACGACACAAGCCTCGCTGCGTTCTGCCTGTCGCACGCTTGGCACAGTCCCGCATTCTTGTTGCGCTGCTCGGTGGGGGTGCGCGGCATCTCGCGTACTTCTTTCGTGATGGTCGTCTGGGCGAGGCATTCTCTTTGCCGGCCTCCGCATCGTACTCTGGAGCGTCGTAGCGAGAGAGAAAGCGAGGTGCCGGCATTCAATCCATAGCTATGTACTGCGCCGTCAGTCAGCTTTGCGTTCTTCGCAGTACCGCCAGCGCTGCGCGCGTAATTCAGGTGTACCGGCTATCGCATGATGGTCAGGTGATGTGACATCACTGCAGACGCTGAGATGCCTGTGAGAGCTCAGCGACCCTTTGGTGTTACATGATCAACGGCGACTCAGTCATTTGATAGCTTTCGACCGGCAACGAACCGCGGGCGATACATGGTCGGGCGTTGTGGACATGGAGGGCAGGCCAACGCGTCTTCGTACTCGACATGGCAGGCGCGACTCGGATGCCGCCGATTGGCCGGTCCCGCCGCCCCACGATACCCCACATCACGCTAACACCAACACCCATCCCACCGTCGCCCACGCCATGGCAACGTCCACCACCCTGTGCTTGCCCAACGCCTCACTGATCGCATATCCATCACGTCGCTTTTCATGCACTCCAGCGCTGTACAATCCCTGTACCGACTGCAAGCTGAACTTCCAGCGTCGTCCTGGTACTTAGATGCATGAGCGTCCCCGCCGGTTGGCGTCGGGTTCAATACTGCTATCTCGAGCGAAGTCTGCAGCATTTCCGCTTGGGCTGCCAAGCATTCATCGAAAGAAACTTCATTCGCGCCTGTCTAGGCTGCAGGCCTCATCGCCCATGCAGTCTGCTAACACACATGGCGTAGAGGTTCATCAATGCGCTATGGCTGCGACTGCCCAGACATCCGCGATCAAGCTACGCGTTCACAGTTGGGGTTCGACTCCTCGAGTAAGCAAGCACATGGACGCAATTATGTCGTGAAAGGTAGCCCCAGACGTAATAGTGCGAGTTTGGTATTCCCAAATCTGGTAGCGACCTTCCGATACTTTTCAGTTTTCTTCGGGATTTTTCGGGATTTTTCGCGGAATACCAATTCTTATAGCGACAATGCATTTGTCAGTTTAAGTCACTAATCTTGAACATTGCGCTATAGGATGTATGGTCAGAGATGTACGCGTCTTCTCTGTAATGAAGAGCGCCCGGGATGTATTTTGCTGCTTTCCCGAAAGAGAGCAAACGCACGTGTACTGGATGACGAATCCGCAAGCATACGATCGGTAGTGTCATACATGACACCATCTTTCGACAATAGACAGTCCTGAGGAAAGGCCCAATGGTACGGTGAAAGACGGTGTTTGCACGGGCACATGTCTTTCAGCGACACGTGTTACAAGTATTCCGCCTTACCCCCCACAGAATTTGCGAACGCGGCGCGAGCCCATCTTTCCAACAATTCCATCGTTCGCGCAAGGCCCCGCTGCCACCAGTTGTTACCGCTGGTGAGGCAATCTTGTCAGGAGATTCTCAAAGCGGGGTGGAGTCTCTTGATCTGCCATAGTAAATGATGAATTCAAAGGAATTGAAAGTAGGTGCCGTGACTGTGTGGCAGTAGATTTGTTTGGCTTCATTTGACATTGTTTGTCTCTCGGACTGGACCCATCAGCACCCCGCCCAGACTTGTCGCTACGTGACCGCATCCTTCACTATTATAAGAGGTAGGAATTAAGACACGTAACGTTCTGTCACGACCAAAAGAACCCTCGATAACCTCATACCGCGAGTTGCCACTCCATTCTTTGACGCATGATCTTTGAGTGCGGCACCTCTTATTGCCTGATACCGACCTAGGCTACTCTGGATCAGCTATTCTGTGACCATTTCGTCCACGTTTCATTTCTCATCTAGACGGTTAGATCTCGACATACTAGCGAGTGAGTTTTCTCTGCGTTTCTGTCCACTTCAAAGACGTCTTACGGAGCTATACTGAAGCGGGCAGGTCTTTCATCGTATCCAGTCGGTTCGAAACAGCTTGCCGAGCATACTCCATCACATCAATTGCGATGCCAAGGTCGTCCCCACTCCCACCGCCCCGACCGTTCTACCAGGAGAAGGTGCTACCAGATCCCATCTGGGCTGGTACCACACATAACATCCAGGACAGTACTTTGGCCTCCATGGAGCCTCATGACGGAATGGTGGCAGTAGTACGAGCGGAAACAGGAACTGAGGCTGGGACGTACGCAAAGGTTCTCGCAAACCGGCTCGCTACCATGGCCGCCTCGAACGGAAGGTCGACCACCTGCCTCTCGGTCACTGGATCCGAAGCTCATGGAAGGGATCTATTTGCTCGCCTTACAAAGCTCCAGTACACGCCAGATCACCTCACCATAGTGATCGGGAACGACGTTCACACGGTAGCGCCCTACCAAGCGTTTTTGAACGACATCCTTACCTCTCATGTAAGCACACGCTAGGAAGAGAGCAGACGTAGCTAACATTACAAGCACATGGAGGACACGACCAATCATTCTTTTACACGCTTGACTGCGATGAAGCAGGTGGTGTTCATCTTCACAGTCGACGCAGATGTCAAACTGTCAAAGTATTTCTTGTCTCGCTGCACAACGTTCATCACCTTGAGCGTGGCAGACAGCCCCGCTCTGCTAACACTACCTTCAACCGCATCGGAAGCTTCAACCGCGCCTGCAGTCCTAGAGGTGGTGTCTGCCTTGCCTTGGGTGGAATGAGGCATCCACCGCTACCAGAGCTACACACGCTCTGAGCTCTTCATGTGGCGCTTCAAAGACCACTTTTTCTCGTATCCAGGGTCCATCTTAAGCGTTCGGAGCCGCCTTCCAGTCTGCTTTGTTTGCTCGCGTAGGGCGACGACGGCTGCAGAAATCTTTCGCAACCATACACGATTGCCGCCGCAATCTCCATTCTCATTGGAGGCGGACTATCGAGACAGGGATGCAGTCGTACTTGGGTTCCATTTGTGCAGCCCTCACGGACTTCATTCTTTACTTGTTTGTAGTTTTCTGGGTGTGGGTGCTGTGGATGTGGCATAGGTAGTTTGATAACTCAACTCGCATACCAATGGCATCCTGCTACACACCCAGCACTCGCGACCTTTGGGGAAGAGACTCTAACTTTGCGTTTCAATGCGACTGGAAGCCTTAGCTATACACATGTCGCTCACTGAGCAGCTACACGAGCCATAATGCGCCGCTGGTACCGACATTTGAAGCAGGTTTGGTATTGGCGGAGCCCTGACTGTCCCTGGCGAACGATAGCACTGCAGCCACTACGTGCATCTAGTTCGATTGGCACATGCGGTTGCGGGAGACATTGACATAATTTTCCCTCACGCCTCGTTTCGTGAAAGTGGCCACGTACTTATGGCAGCCTGTCTTTCAAAGCAGCTGCCGCAGACACCGTTGCGTGCAAGACCCCAATAGTAGCGCTCAACGCCTCCTTCGCTGGAACTAATTGACCATGCCCATTCATGTTCTTGCACCTCCACGGGCCGTCTCCTGTGGGGCTTTTCTCTGGATTGCGAAGCTGCATCCCGCTCGGGTAGGTGGGCGTTCAGACAGCTCTGCAACTGGACGCCGCATTGAAGATAGCCATTGCTACATGCGTCGCCGCAAAGCGGGCAGAGATCTGGCTGCAGTGCCTTCGTCTCTGCTGGTGCTGCGCGTTCCAGCGAGGCCGACGTCCACGAGTGCATCGGAGGCAGGACCAGCGATGTGTGTTCTCAGGCCTGCGCGGTCTCACCCCCTCACCTGGGCTTAGGCGCGCATACCTGAGAACGCTGAGGCATTAGCGTGTACGGCTCACTTGATCGGGCGCAACCGCCCAACACTCCGCGACTCCCCACCTCGACCAAACTTACACGCGCAACAACATTTCCGGCCGGATATGAGCTATGGCTCGTCGCGACATCCGGTGACTGGGTCACCACTGCTTCCACCATCCGACTCACCACAAGCCTCCAAGTACCCAGGTACTCTCAACTTGGGGGCAGACGCCGCTCCACTAGCTCTCGAACATGGACTGACGGCCGCTACTCGATTTCGACTCGACGTCACGTTTACCATCGAGCCCTGTTGACTTCCATAACGCTAAGCGACCGGCTGTCATACGACTGAGTGCTCACACACGACTCGACCTCGACCCGGAAGAGCGAGAGGAACTTCGGATGCGGCCGTGCCCCAAGCATACAACAAAGACCACGATGCCCTACTGGTCCTACAGATCTTGAGCGGATCGGTATGAGGCCATTGTCATGAGATGAGCGGGTTGTCAGACTGGAAAGTTGCATCGATGCGTGCGTCTTGGAGCCTTTGCGATCCACTTGACCGGGTCAATTGCACCGAGTACATCTGTCGAGGCTACACGAGCGCGCCATGGAGGCCACCTAGACATGCTGCCAGTGACATGCCTGGTATTGCAACCAGGAAAAGAAGCTCAAGAATGCGCTTCGCAAGAGCGACATCACGGACAGTGAACTCGGAACTTCTCAACTCCATGACATACCTGCATGCCTGGACAGTCCCTGTGGAACGGCGAGTATAGCCAATCAAATGACTATTTACTCAGAGATCATAGGCCTCTTCGCCTCCAAGATGTACATACGCTGCCTTGTCAAGTTTCGAGTCCCTCACAGTTGCGATACCCTTGTCTCTGTTGACAACGTTTCCAATAACCACCGAGATGAGCGCGACTTCATCACTGCTCCCTGTCTGCATCAAACTTCGTGCGACTTGAGCTACTTTAACAGATGACATAAAGCGTTCCTAATTTTGTCTCGCATTTCGTCTCCTCCGATATGCGCTGCCATGTTCTCGATGAAGCCAAAGTTCCGTCGTCCCGTACATGTTGGGGTCTAGCCGGCAGACGAAAGGTTGGAAGAACAGATGTAGACGAGACGGAGGTAATGAACAGGCTAGTCTGGAGTCAGTTTTGTATTATCGAAGCGTTTCTGAAAGCCTTACCTACATTCATTCGAGACGGCCTCCCCACAACCCTCCTTATTCTTATCGTAGTCGAACCCGTAGACATGATGTGTTCGCGTGCGCATCGCTTACCGAGCATGGTAGTACAACTCATGATGTTGATGCTCGTAGGCTGCACGCTGATCGCTGCTGCTGTTGACCCAAGTCTCGTGGCCATATTGGAATGCGCAATGACTGTCGCTTGGACCTTGGTGATTGCTGTTTACTGAATAGTCGACCGCAGCCTGATCATCGCCCGTGGCACGATTGTTCTCTTCGCTTTGGCGAGCGCGATGGTATCGGTGGCGTCCATCCATGACATCCTTGATCCGGGCAATAGTCTCACCAGGTCTGTAGTCTCTCGTCACTCGATTGATGTGATCGTTCAGATGCCTGTTGATGTCATCGCTTAGCCTCTCATCCTCTCCGTCTTCTTCCGTGTCCGCTCTCCAGTCGCCATGATCCAGCGGAACACCATCCAGCCATTCGCGCAAGCGGTCGAAGTTCCTCGTCTCTTCTTCGAAATTGATAGGCTGGTCGCGCTGAAGCGGGTCCTGGTAGTGGGCGAAACGATCGCGCTCCTCGTAGCGATTACGCTGGGGGGTGATGCAGACCGAGAGCTGTCCACCGCTCTTGTGGTCATTTTGTTGATCGCTCTCGATCTTGTAAAGACCTGAACTAGCGCGGGTAAGTCGGTAGCGTTTTTCGCTGGCCAAGCCGTATGTCATGTTCTTGTAGACTGCACCATGATCGTAGCCACCAGTCGCCTTGGTGACTGCCTCGATCAAGAGCTGCTCTGGACTCAGATTCATAGTATCCCCAACATCGCGCTCGGGTTCTTTGACTGTAGTTCCGCTCGTTGCAAGGAAGGCGGGACCCCGCTGGGATAAGCTGATCTGCCGACAAGCGATCGACCTGATCCCCTTCATCAGGTCTTTTAGCCTGTTGCAGACGAACCCTTGGTGTCTGGTATTGCTTGTCGCCGATTCTTGCTTCATGTTGCAGTGGGGTTAAAAGTGATTTAGTTTGCGTGAGGTGGCATAGCGAGACGAGGCCGCATGATGGTGAGAAGAGACCAGCGCGTGAGGTGACAGAGGATAATTGGCAACCAGGAAGGCTTAGCGTAAAAAGTGAGCGCGTACTAAAATGAGTCGGAAGACAACGTCAGTCGGTGAGTGCGCGGGTCGGAGCAACGAAAGTTAGTCTAGATTGCGGGTTGCCCAGGTGAAGACGGAAAGAGATAGCGTATCCAGCAACACCACGACAATCTGTTGCTTCGCCTCTGAGAGCATATGTCACAGCATCTACGACACGACTGCAATACATAAGTGAGTAAAGGGACATTGCTCGTTGCTCGTCATTATTGGTGATCCAGAAGCCCGAAAAGTCGCCCTTATCGCGCAGGGCGCGTTCCAAGAGACGATGCGATCATTTGCACACACATGACAACAGCACCTCAGCTCGTAACGGGTTGTGCTCTCCGCCCCAACGTTCCACCTCGACACTTCAGTTCCCTTCGTGCGTAGTGAAGTGGTGGTCGATCATGTCGATTTGATATCGCGGTTCTTGACCCGTCACGAAAGCCGACTAAGAGATGCGACGCGCGAAAGATGCGAGATCATCCCGCCAAAGAAAGCTCGACACGAGGCCTGAAAGCCTTCATTAACTGCCCACGAGAGCTAGCCGACACCCGGCTGTGCCGTAGCCCCGACCGCAACCACGTGGACCATTTCGCAGAACATTCGTGCTACAGCCGTTCGATCATTCGAAGGCGCGAATGCCATCGAGCATACACTCAAGGAGCGAGGGACGCATCGGGTTCGAAGCAAAACTGAGATGCCCTCGCGGGAGGGTCCGAAAGCCGTCCTTGTTGGTGCGGTCGAGCGTGATGCGCACGCTTTTCTTTCCATGTCTGGACAACGGACCCTGTCGCCCCAAGTCTGCGAGTGATAGCTGTTCGCACGTGACTCACTTGGAACCGACGACGAGATCTCATTCACATGATCGTTGGAGGTGCACGAGTCCAAAGCGAAAAGCCGACTCCCACACCAGCCAGGTATGTCTCTTGTAAGGTATCCCAGTTGATGCAGCTGATCCGCTACTCCTCTAGCAAGCAGAAGAAGATACTACACCGATTTTCGTATGAGTCGTCAAAGTTGATGTGGCCGGTGTGCTCTTCTCAAAGAAGCAGAGACGACCTTCCACTCGGCGTCGGGTTTGGCGAACAGGGTGGTGCGAGACGAAGTAGTCGTGCATGCTGGCCTTGCTCTTCTGGCCTCACCGATCAGGGGACTGTGCTTTCGATTTGGACTGAAGCAGGCTACTCGTTCAGTACGCGTTGCTTCGACATGTTATGGTTGATCTCCTTGGGAAGCTTGAGATGCGTCTACGCTGGCCGACTTCGCGTCTTCGTGATTGTATGACCCGGTGCGCTCCAGGACCACACGTCGGCGCGGGTATCCTCGCCCTCGTTGAGTCACCACGCCGCACCGTTCACCTCCATGTTCAGTGTGCCAGCCAATCGTCCCAAGTCGTAAGACTGTCGACACGCGACAAGGCTTGTGTGAAAGGTGTTGGCTGTGCCTTCGATCGGCGCTGTCGGAGGAGTTATGGGCGCTGGTGTTGTTGGTGTGCGGGAGCTCTGCGGTTGATGCGAAGTCGTATGGCTTTCGTGCAGCCGTTCGGGAGCGTGTGCGGTTGGTGGTGAGGCCTAGGCTGGATCGTCAGCAAGATGGACTCGAGATGGGTCGGTGGCCGTACACGGATACTTGTACAAGTAGTGCTGTCAAGCGGCATCGTTGGAGCGACCAGACCAGTGCGACGTATTGTGTTGTGCGTCATCATTGGCAAGGGATTCATGGCTGCCAGTACCTGGACACGATGTGGGCATGGGGAGTTCTCCCAGACAGTGCATTATTGGGTGCGACGAATTATCGGGCGGGGCGTATTGCTGTAGGGGCGGTTAAGCGTTGGAGACTGTCGTCGTCGTCGTCGTCGTCGGCGAGGGGGTATGAAGGTTACGGAGAGCCTGGCGAGTACGAAGCGCGCCTACAGGAGAAAGGGTGAGATGTGGCGGATGTCACTAAGACGTATGGACTCACGAGAGAAAAGGCATGGCTATCGCTCTCGAAGCCCGTGTGAATGATGGATGATCAAGGCCATGCCGCTCTAGGAGTAGCGTGACAGCTCGCATCACGGCTTGCCCCGCATCCGCCGCGCAACCCCAACACCAGCACTTCCAAGGTTCCCTTCGTCTAACATGTCACTCAGATACATCTCACCCTGTTCTATCTTCTAGGTCGGAAATCCAGGGATTTCTCCCTAGCGATCTAACGTAATTGCACTCAGTGGAATTGATCTCTGACCTTGCGACGGGAAGTCCGAGGAGGCGATTGTTTGGAACGTTTCCCGCCTTGTTTGCTTTTGCCATGGAAAGACTGCTGGGAAGACACCGCATGCTTGCGAACTCGCGACCTCTAGGGCTCGAGCACGCTTCCGATGCAGACTAGTGGCCTTCCCCGCGCCGAGGCCCAGATCAGCTGCAGGCTCCTGGCTCCGCGGCATCAGCACCACCACCACCACCACCACCACCAGCCGCGCGGAGAAAGCGCCAACTACCCCGCGACATTAGGACGACCCTCATATTTCAATACTTCACTACACCGCCGCCTGTTTCATATCGCCGCCTCGCATACCTCCGCCTCGCATGCTGTAGCTGAATAGAGAGGCGCATTGCATCGCCCATGCACCCCGCCGCAGCTGTCACCACACGGCCCCAACCTCGAAAACATCATGCATATACACCTGGCACATTCATCCATCGGCAGCAATTGAGCCTTCGGCCGTCATGAGCAGATGAGGAGGTGCGACCACACCCGGGGCTATCAGAGCAGCTGGAGCGCTTGTGCCGGTATACGCGACCCTTCTCGGACAAGTGGCTGTTTGAATGCTGTAAGGCTGTGCCCGTGTGAGATTTCTATCGCGTCGGGACGAGAGCGGTACATGCTGTGCTTGCGCTGATAGCCACAGCCGCCACTGGTTTGCGAACCGCGTATGAGTGACGCCATCTTATGTAGCTATATCGTACACGTATCGAGCGCAATGTACCTGAACAGCGACCGCGCGCCAAATGTGCCCACCGGCGAAGACGATCTCAACTGCTGCCATTCTCGGTGAACCCAGCACGAGGCCGACATCAGGCTTCAGACACACACCGACAACTCCAACTTCTCCGAGGAACAACACGACTGCTGGCGTCGTTATAAACTGATATGCACAAAGCTAGCTGCGAACAGGCTGAGCGCTGACCGTTCTCTCCATGGACAACCTCGCATGCGCACCGACTGGGCAAACTGTTAGCCTGACCACAGGCCAGTGTCTTCACGTGTCCCTAATCGGGGCTACGAAAAGCGAAAAGTAGGACTATGACTGGTTGAAATTTGACTGTGGCCCTTTTACAGCTCAAGCTGCTTCTCAGCGATTCATGATGCGTGTGGCGACATCAAGCGTCGACAACTAAGCGCCCTCCGATTCAACTTAGGAAAGAGAAACAGGAAAGGAAGATGGTGTAACGATGGTCGAGACCCTCTAATCTGTCTCTAAAGGCGCGGTAGGTTGCGCCGTCTCGACTAACAGGTGCCGTAGTGTCTGCCGTCGCACTATGGGTATCTCTCGACACACGCAAACATAGCCATCTTCTCCTTGTAGGCCTTACAAAGGGCGTACGTACGCTATATCTGCCTAAGGACTCTTTACTTCGCCTCAATATAAAAGCTTCGAGACGACCAATGCCATCCTAAGGTAGGTAGGCCGATGTCTTCCGAGGTTTAGAAAAGCATAAAGGCTTGTCAGCAGCCCCATACGTCATCTCTAGTACGTTGATTAGGGGCGCTAATTAAAAGGCTATTGGCACAGTACACTGGCAAGTGGAGGTAATGAGAAGGACGACCAGCCTGTCTCTTCCAGCCTAGCGCTTTCGACCGTGTGTTCACCTTGCCCTTAAGGAGCGCCTTCTTCCGGTTATAGACGCCCTTGTGGTATCAGGACGCGTTTGTGCCCAAGTCTTTGAAGGCCTTCACGATCCAATCGCACCGTCTGGGTTTGCCTCCATAGGAAACGGAGGGAGCCATTGTAGCATAGCTTGATCAGCCTGCGCGAAGCTGCAGCAGAAGCCAGAGATCAGCTCAATGTCGCACCGCTTCCCAGCCTTTTACTTCCTACGACTTGCGCATTCGATACAGTAAGTAAGTCGTAGGATTGCTTAATCTTGCCCATTACGCATGTCACGTAGCCAAACCGATCCAGTCTTTCACCCCCTAGGGCAGAGATTGTGTTGTGCCATCACACCACGTGCGGGTAGCCGTATATTCAGGGGCCGATGACCTGGAGCCGACAAGTGCTTCAACGCTTACTGAACTTACCATGCTACTCTCACGCATCCTTCTGGATTTGGATCCACGGCCGCTCTCTTGTGCCGACCATCTCATGATGCAGTACACGGAAAACGCAGGGTGACGAGCTAGCAACATGAGGTTTACTGGCTAAAAATGGGAGCATTTCCAATGCCAGAATCTTGCGTGGGGCTTCCAGAGACCGTTCGAGTGATGAGCCTTGCCTCTAGATCTAGCACGAATTCAGTTGAGTATCTGAACGCCATTCCCGTCCCCGTCATGCTGTGAGCTTTCTGTCCTAACTTTACCATGTGCTTTTCTTTCATCCATAGGCATCAGGTTCTATCATGATGATACTTGGCTGTTTCGACCATCAATTTCTTCTCCATGCCTGACTTTCGGATTCTAGCTCAATGAGCTCGTCGCGCTTACATGGTCCTCGCCGTCTGCATTGTGTAGTCGATATTCACCACCAAAAGGTTGCAGCGACTTGTGCACATAAACACGGTCGACTATTCAGTGTAGTGCATCTTGATTCAGGAGAGTTTCTTGGTATCAGCCATCCAGAACATGAGAGGGCGTATCTCATTTGGTCCATATTGCTCGACATCCTCCAAGTCTTAGTCAGAAGAGCAGCACGGAACTTCTATAAAAGCTTGCTTAAGTAAGAGTCATGCTTTGCGCAAAGTGATGAAGACAGTCTTGCGAGGACGGGGTAGGCAATAGATGCGGAAGTGCGGCTTGCTTCCGAGCAAACCAACGAGATGACGTTGGCTGCTACACCAACGCAAGAGGTATCAGGAGATCACATGCTACATTTGTCCTTGAGTACCATTACAATCATTTTCCTGTTCCGTCGCACGCTACATGTCTTCTGATCGAGAAAGCAAAAACGCCAACGCCAACGCCAATGAGCACCTAACGCCGTCTCTGCCGTCGAATTCGTCCCCATTCGCAATTTGTATACCTTTCAAACCCCTCACCCCTTCCAGCTTAGGTACTACCCGTACTCGCGCATGGCATGTCAACCTCTCATCCAATCTAGCTCGTACTGCAGGCTTCTGGACAAACAACCCACCAACGTGGTGGGTAAAAGGTTACTAGTCCCACGTCCACCCGTTCCTTGATGAGCACACATGGTGGCGGATGTCGTACACGGGAAGATGCCTCCGCTGAGGGTCATGGTTGAGGTCAGAGCGCGACATAACGGCTTCATCGTCGCCAGATCCAGGCCCAAGTTCAGACTCGGTGCTGTCGGTACCGAGGGACTGATTTACGGATGGGCCGTGATGGTCATGAGGGGTAAGTGGGCCATTGGTCGGGGACGAGACCTCTTCTCCATAGTCGTTAACGTTCATTGATTCGAATTGCTGAAGAAGGCCGGTGTTGGATGGTGTAGGCACCGCGCTGGCATCGACTTGGTTTTGGACTGGTTGGGCGTCCATGTCGTCGGCGTAGATGGAGTCGTAATCAAGTGAAAGCGTTGAAGGCTCGTCCGTGTCGCCCTCGTACGCAGCCATCTCCGCATCACCAAGCTCGAGGATCCTGGCATTGTCTTCAAAGTCTGACTGTATGAGCACGTCGTCGAGATTGTAGGTTTCATTGGTGGCCCCACCGTTCACTGCTTGAAGGTATTGGGTTTCGCCCTCGTAAAGAGTAACTTCCTCATCATCCGAGGCGTGCATGCTGGCATTGTCGGCAACCTCTAGATCGGGTACCGGCTCCCGAATAAGGTCACTCAGATTGAGGGAGCCGATGCTGGCCCCGTCGTTGAAGTGTCTGGGCGAGCTTGTCGGTCTCCCACTGAAGACGGCGGGTGCCTACGGCGAGTACGCAGCCGCGTGCTTAGATATCCATCTGCTCGGGATGCTCCTGTTCGGGATGCTTTTTCTCGGAACGCTCCTGCTCGTGCCCGTCAACTTCATCACCCCCGGTCTGTGATCCGCTTTCTTCTTCTCCAGTCGCCCTCTGGGTCTGGTCGGAGGAAGGCGCTGGCGTGGTGTTGACTGGAGTACTGGTCATGCGTCCGAGACCGCTGCCTTCTCCTCCATCGCTTCCTGACGAAATGATCACCGGTTTCATCTTGATGTGGCGCTATCAGAGGATCGGTTGGGGGAATGCTGGGCGAAGCTGCTCGCTTTGGCGGGCGGCCCGACCGAAAGCTTTTGGAGTTGACCAGGAGAAACGTCGAACCCAGCTCTGGGCTGAGTCTCAGCTCGCGTGTGATTGATGCAGCGCAGCTCGGGCTGCTTGGGTCTGTGGAGACACTGGTGTAGAGGCGGTCAGCGATGGATTGAGCGTGTTGTGGCGTGTGATGAGATGGTCTCTGGGAGTGTGCAAGGTCATTGCGCTGAGACGGAGTAGAAATGAATCGATTTTCGTTGCATGAATGGAGCTGTGCGAAGATTGAACTTACCTGGCTGGTGATGCCCAGTCGAGAAGCTGGGCGATCCGGCTTCTACTGTTCCGACACTGTTGAGCCAGCGTGAGCTGTGAACGCAGCCGATGGTGTTTCGCTATGGGCGTACAGATACCCAGTGACTGGCTGATACCGTCAGCAAAAGGTAAAGCATCGGCATTGCAATCTTACCTGGAAGCCGACAGAAGAGGGTGTCGAGATGATATCGAACCACTTAGTAATTGGTGTTCGTGATCAGAAGGTGCAGGATGGAGAATGAGACAATCTGCTCGCCTGCATTTGAATACCGCGCAAGATGGCGTAAAGTATATTGATTCCAGTCTGTGCTGCTTGTAGCGAGAACAAGCCTGGTTGTAAATCCCGTCGGTGAGATGCGGGTGAGTGACAGTGCGCAGGCCAACGATGTGCCGCTCCCCACCAAAATACATAGAGAGTATTTGCGAAGAGATGTCGCGAATACTGAAGAAGGAACAGACGGGCTCGGGTCAAGATGCAGTCGTCTCGGTGACGCGTGAGGTGACGTGGAGGGGTGCGTTTGTTACAAACTGATAGTCCTAATGAGACCGTCTCGTAGGTGAGAACGCAATGGGAAAGCCTTCAAGGCTACTTCTCTCGCATAGAAAGCCGTGTGATTTGACACAGATCTCACCGTCGGGCCTTATTCCTTTGACGGACGCTTTCGATTGCAACTTCCCTGGTGGTTGTGACAGGCTTCGTTAGACCTGCATTAAACGGCAACAATTTTGCTGGACAGAGCAGACGTTTTCGGGCAGGGAATTAACGTATTACCTAAGGTAGAAAGTACCCTCTGTTGAATAAGAGGTTCGCAGCCTCGACCACACAAGGCTCGTGATCAGCAGCATCCGTTGCATTCGTCATGGACATCCTCATGACATATGCTGCAGCACAAGACGAAGACCGTGTGAGCTCCATCAAGACGGCTGCCGTCGTTGACTGTCCCGAGATCCCGCGAGCAGAGGCCAAAATGCATAGGGGCTTACGAGAGCGTATCGAGGGTATGAGCGGCGGTACTCTTCACATCATCGGGCCGTCGATAAACTCTTTTGCTATGTCTCCAAAACCTCTGTTACCTGCCCCGAATTCGAGAAAGCCATTGACCGGACTAATCACCCAGCAAGATATGTCTCCACAGCAAGATATGTCTCCACAGCGAGATACGTTCATGGCATCAAGGGGTATCGAATCGCGGCTTATCCTAGGCAAACAGCCCCCCAGCACTGGTTCCACAATGACCGCCCATGCGGGATGTCCGCTTTGGTGCATCCTCGCTTGTGGGTGTACGAACCCAGTGATCGTTGTGGGGAGACTCGGGGCTTGAGACTGCAGCCGTTCATAGAGAGGGCTCGTGTCTGGGACTGCGATTAGCGTTGAGAATAGGATTTCTGCGTAGTGGATCGAGAGTTCAATTCGGCATACGACATTACCATACCCAAAAAAGCGAGGCCAGTTTACCAACAGATGATAATACTCTTCATGCGAAACCTGTGTGGGCTAGGACAGACGCACGAGAGTCCATTCCAGCGCCGTGTGATCGCCTTATCGTGTCAGCTGTGAGTGGGTCTTTGACCAGATGGAATTCTCGCAATCTGACGCGTCGCGAGCAGGTTGTGCCATATGATAAAGGACGCTGTGTAGCAAAACAATGGACGGATGATGGATATCAGGCGAGTGCCTGGACCTGTGTCCGGGCTTGGGGCGTTCGCGGTCAGCGCGGGGCAGCGCGGGCCAGCCGCTAAACTGTAAATCGGAGTCTTCAGAATGGGGTAGATGCTGCGCAGCGCTCGAACGCCAACACATGAGCATCGTAGCAAATACACCTTGCCGTCCAACATGTGGCGAAAAGATCCCCCAGGCTCGAGCGCGAAAGACAGAGAACAAATCAGGCGTGGGGGGGTTCCGCACTGGTAGCCCACCCAGATGGACCCCGGAGGTTAGCTTGGCTCCTATTGGTTGACTTCACCCCACCTCTCAAGCTCTTTGATGGCAGACGACGGGCGCGCGCACACCCACAGCGTCGAAGGATGACCCGCTACCATGGTCAAGCACGAGCGTGTTCAGAACGCCCATGGCAGCGGCATCTCAGACACTCGAGTCGACGCAAGTCCGGGCTACAACCAAGCTGTGGTCAGCAGGCTTCGGCGCTGATGCAACCGCCAAGCGTCGACGCCGACCCGCGCAACATCGCAACGGCGGTCTATCGAGATTCAGGCCTCGCCAATGTGGAGAGTAGCAGACAATGGCGGGTCAGGAAGATCGGGGGCAGGGAAACGCTCGTCCGCAACCAGTACGTTGTTTCGAAAGATATGAGGCTGATCAGTCCGTACTACTGGTCTACGTCAGTACTTTTGATCCGCGAAACATCGACCTTGGCAATGAGAGTGAAGATGAGCTTCTACACCACACCAATATCTCGGGAGACGAAGATTCCATCACCTTCCACATGGTTACGCGTGAGGCAGAGACAGGTGCGAACGGACAGGGAAGTTGCAGGCGACGAGCCCAGTGGCGCCAACGGTCGAATGGCAAATATCGTGACGTGGAAGCGTTCCAGGGTTCTGACAGGCACTAGGCCGGCAACGAAGCACCTTCACAACGAGCGGTCGTATGTTTTACCCGATGAGTCTAGTGGTTTGAGCATCTTTATCTACGAGCATTCGCGCACTGATCCGAATGCATTCCGTCACACCATGCAAGCAAGCTTCTTCTTTGCATGACACCACCTATTGCAGCCCCGAGCATGAACACGTTCTCCAGAGCCCCAGTACGGACAGAATCTGTTCCGATCCTCTTTCCGTTTCTCGTCGTTGCCCTGCTTCACAAGCTTCTCCCAACGGTCAAAGTCTTTCTGCGACGGGATTTTACCTGTCTTTGCACAAGCGCAAGATAGAATTTTGCTGTCCTTTAGCTGCTTGATGAGGTTTGCGATGCTTTCCAGGTCGCTAGAAGAGTACACCGGATGTTGTAATCGACGTTCGTATTCCGCGCTCGTATCTGTCGGTGTCCCCTCCTGAACATGACGATACAGCGCATCCAGGTAATTGCAGAATTGCCGAGGTATGTCTTCATTTGTGGCCATTGGCGACTGGATGATGTAATTGATGTTTCTGATAGTTCTGCCGATGTCGGCGGCTGACCAAATCATGCCTCCTCGTGCAATAGAGTCGTCCAATGTAAGGACGCAGTGTACTACCGGATGACCAGGTCTCATGATGAGGGTGTCGCCGGGGCGGAGAAGAATAATTTCAACATGTTCAGCAGCTGGTCTCCACTGTGCCCCCGAGGTTTCTAGTTCCTTCTGTTCCTTCTCAGTCCATGGTCCAGTATATATGAACCAGGCACGGAAGCCGGTGATGGTTGTCAGCCACGTTCCATTTAGTACATCCAGGTGCCACCCAGAGAATGAAAACCGCTCTCCAGACAACACGAACTGAAGGCAGGCCTCGCAGTCGATTCTTCGCGTCTTTGTCTCTTTGCCTCCGGCTGGTCCAAACTGAGATTGTTCGTCGAGATGAACCTGAACCTTGAGATCATTGAGCAAGCTGTATCCAAGGTCCCGAAGAAAGTCTGGCCCTGGTACGACGTGCTCCAGAGCTGCTCCGGAGATGCTCAAAAAGTTTCTAAACTCGTCGGAGGTCGCGCGCTTCTCCTTTGACATGCGATCTTCGTATCGCTTGCAAAAGTCTTGAGCGGTCATCTCTGGGGTACTACCGCCAAGAATCTGCCAATTCTGGTACATCAAACTCACTTTGCGGTGCTGTGCGAAGCGAAGGAAAGCTGCTTCAGCATCTTGGAAACGTTCAAAGGTATTGGAGATCCGCAAAGTCGGTGTATGCGCGTTCAGAGCACGACCTTGTTTGAGGAAAGTACCGAGTTCTTGAGCAGAGGTGGAAACCCAATGGTTGCGAGAGAGGTTCGAGGCGCTATCTAGGGAAGCCGGTTTCTCGCCGATGGCATGTGGCTAATTTGATGCAAAGCTTTGTAGAGCTGGAAATACTGCTCGCAGCATATCGATCCCAGTCTTCCAATGAGCGAGATTCTCGCCTTCGCGATCGGTGTAAGGGCCGCACAGTAGTTGTCGGAGCACACCTTGGGAAAACTGGCGGTCATAAGAGATGGACTCTGGGACGCTGGACTCGGCAGACCTTCGCTCAGGTAGAGGTGTGTCGTTGGGATCGCAGGAACACGTGTTGTGTTCGGTCTCGTCTTCGCCGACGGATGCTCCATGTAGCTGCTTTCCCTTACAGTTTGCGCGATTGCTGTCACATACAACCCGCCGCTTTGCCCGCATTCACATCACACGCCGCTGCGTGCTCATATGCCAACACGAGTATCCCTACATGCCCGTCCGTATCCCCGCAGCCAGCTCTCGATTGCCGCACCCGACAAAGACTACATGATACCTCCGCTTCAAGCACTGCGACGCACGGTATGCCCTCATTACGACCACGATATGAGCACGACCATGTCATGCCCCATCTTTGTGTGCAAATCACGGGAGTCGTGGCAGGATGGGTGCAAAGCCTGTAGGTGAAGCAGAGTCTGGGCAGCTCATCAGACATCTGGAGAGAGTTCGTGACGCTTGGAAAGCGGGGCGTCTGGCTTGACAGGTGTGCTCTCGTTCCGGACAGCGCTCTCAAACGAC